TTGTGTATGGCCAGTGGTTATATACTGTGCAACTTTGAAGTAGAAGTTTGCAGTTTTTTATAGCATACAATAAAACCTCCCTGAAAAATCAAATTTTCAACTTAGAGTAAAAGAAAGAGTTCCAGTATTTAGAAGAAAGTGTAAGCTTAGCACACACACAAAAAAATCATGCAAATCAAGTAAGATTCGCAGGAGGAAATTACTGTACCATTATTTTAACAAAAGCATATTTTCAGTAAATGTACATTTCCCACCCTTGCATAGACCTAATATGCACAACTAATGAGATGTGCACTAGCTCTAAGGAGCCTCACCCCAGGGGTATTCCCTATGGAGAATAGAATTTCTTGGGGTGGAACATGTAACTCCTCAATTCATAGTCTTTGGGATGTTTGCCAGGCTTTTCTAGCCCTTACCTTTATATTATTCATCCTTGCCATCCTCTCAATGGTAACACAAGTCCATCTTCACAAAAAAACACACAGGAAAGTGTAGACAAGGCAGCAGAGGTGCACTTGTGTTGATGATTGAATGTAAAGACTAGATCAGCTGTGACTGAGAACAGAACTGGCTTTTGACAACACTACTGGAGCAGCACTTTGTGTTGACACAAAATGCACATTCTTCTTAAGAAAAAAAAAAAAAATTAAGGGCAACATGATTTCCTAACGTGCAATTGCCTGTGTGTCATTATTCAAACAAACTGTTGTATTTAAACTTGATTTACATGATTGGTGGGAACAGGGATGGTGGGTGGAGCTATAGAATCTCTAGGGTAATATAAGAAGTATAAAAAATAGAGCCAGAACAAAATACAGGATCACTCAGCAGTAACTAAAATAAAATGGAATTATGATGCCAACATTGGTGTCACAGTATATTCCACTGGCACTTCATGATGTTGAAATTGACATAACCATACATAATGGGCCTTTTTTCTAACATTTCCAAAATCTCCAATGCTTTGATACCTTCTGATACCTGTTTGCTCCCTATGCATACATTACTGGAACCTGTGAAAACATCTTTTCAGTTTGTAATATAACAAACTGTTCAATCTGCAAAGTGCGGCTGTATGCCACGGCAACACGCCAAAGCACTACAAGTCGGCGTTCGGCTTGATGTAGCGAACTCCCACGCTCAAAGTCATCTCTTTGCCATTAATCTCTAGAGCGTAGAGTTTTATATTTATTTTCTTCATCTGGCAGAAATGGGTTAATGGTTTTCTATTGACTTTTTTTTTTAACTCTGTATGTCAGTACAATATTTGATGATATTGTTTTGTAACAACTATGATACAACTTGAAACAATGTATCAAAGTGTTGTGGGTTTTGGGATGCTACAAAAAAGGCCTTTACTTTTTATTAGTCAGCACACTGATTAACAAAAGTTATTGCAAATAGGGATGGTGCTTGAGCTGGACATGCTAATGCAATGACAAGGAGGACACATTCTGTTCTAGGTTCCTTGATCAGGACTCAGGTAATTTTTGTTTTCCTCAAGGCCACCATCATCAACTGCCTCAGAGTGCACACAACGTCTGAAGGAATAAACCACATGGGCACCTAACTAAGCTTGGGGTCTAAATTGCCATCCTAAAATAACCAGGAGGGACTGGGATAAGAAGAGAGGGAGAGGACTAAGAGAAGGAAGTAAGAGAGGGAGAGAAAGTGGAAGAGGGAGAGGAAGAAGAGGAGGGAGAGGAAGTAGAGGAGAGAGAGGAAGTAAAAGAGCGGGAGACAGTAGGAGAGAGGGGGAGAGGGAGAAGAAGAGATGGGAAAGGAAGAGGAAGAGGAAGTAGGAGACGGAGGAGGAAGAGAGAGTATGAAAAGCAGTAGCAGAGGAAGAGAAAGAGAAAGTAGAAGTATGAGTAAGAATAAGAGTGGGAGTGGAAGTATGAGTGGAGATGGGAGAAGGAGTAGGGAGTGGGAACTGGGTTCAAGGAGTGGAGACTGGGTTTTGGGAGTGGGAATCAGGATTGTGTACCTCTTGGTCACTTTGTCTCATAAAGTTTCACAGTGAAATTCTTCAACATAAGAGCAGTATGACTAATTTTCTTATACCACTCTAGTTTCATACATATAGTGTACAGAATTTTTTCAGCAAAAATATATGATATGATTACAATGGCTTTCTCTAACATTTAGACTACTTATTAATTTTTCTCACGGTAAACAGAGTCTGGTGAAGTTGAATTACTTGCATATCTTAAGTGGAGATAGACTTGTACATCTATTTGCTAGTCATTTATTTCTTTTTGCACTTTTGACATATCTTGTAAATTTCAGCCTGATCACTACTTGGCATGATCAATACCATGTCGACATATGCAAAGAACAAAAATCTAAGGCAAACATGTATAAGGACGGCATGACGGGCAAATGAGAAGATAGGCCTATACGCCAAATAAAACAAGGCACCCATGGCCAACCTCGTTCAATACTCCTCCTCACCCTTTCTTCTGCTCTGTTGCTGAATGTGGCAGCATCTATGGCAATCACTTCTATCAATCTTGTTTGTGTCAGAACATTGTCAATCAGTACTATCAACCTTATTTGTGTCAGAACAACAATCAAAATATACCTCTAAACCTACTCGACCTCCTCTCTTTACCACACTATCTAGTCACAGTAACTGCATGAACCACATGATCTGAGAGAAGGTACAAAGTATAACCTTTTTGGGACATAGTTGCAGGTAATGTGTTCCACATCTTTGAGTATGTAATATCTGGGAAAGGGATAACAGCTTGTGTCAAAAATGCTAGAGAATGGCAAGGGGAAAACAAAAAGCATACCTAACCCTGGATTTTAGGCCATTATCTCTAAATACTTTTTTTTACTTTTCTTTTCATGTGCTCAGCCAGCAAGTATTATACAGTATGCCCCAGTGACTGATCATGATATCCCAATTCCTTGAATTATCAGGAAAATGTGTTTTTCTTTCTAATACTATTGATATTGATACTGTTATTATTCTTGTTCATATTACGATTAGTAAATCATTATTACAATCTTGGTAATATAAAAACAACAAAATAATACAAAATGCACTTTCTAAAAATCAAGGTGAGATATGTTGGACTAATAACCAACTCCTTGGTGACTAAGCACTTGTGGAGCCATCTATATGTAAAAGCAATAAATGAACTTATATAACAGTAGGCATGGCACGTATTCTTGCCATTTATGCTGACTGGGTTAACATACATTTTTTAATTTTGCAAATATAATATTACTGTCATGATTTGCAGGGCCTGTGGATCACGCAGTTATCTATACCAGCTACCCCTCAAGCATTCAGCGAAAAAGTGACATATACTCCCTTAAAGTCTACGGACAGCAGCACACAGGGTCAGAGCAGAGGATTGAAGCACTTTATCAAAATGGGGAAGATATCTCACAGTTTTGGAGCTTTTTCAGGAATAAATATATTGACATTGTGTTTCTCTTGTCTTCTTTTCTTCTAATGAATATCAATTTAACCTATAAAGCAACATGAGCATAATAATTTATTACGGAAAATGGAATATGAACAAAAAAATAATATCAGCATGAGAATAAAAACCTTAACTACAGTATCTACAAAGGAAAGATAAATATTAACACATTTAATTACCATAAAATTAAACCTTTAAATATCTGATACGATTTGAGTCTTCACAACTTTAAGTGATAAAGGACTTTATCTATAGTTTATAGTAAACACTTTGAACTTTACTCTTTAATCCCTTGATGACAGTAACAGAAATCTCTCAGTGTCACAGACGCGGGTGATTTCTGGCAACCGTCAAGCTGCTGGGAGCAAGAGTCCACTACATATAATGGAACTTCCCGCTCAATGCAGTCTAGCACATTGCCACGCGTATAGCCATACCCATCAGATCAAGCAGTTTGTTATGACGGCTATACATTTGACCCAGCAGTAACGGGTTAATGAAACAGTCTCTAACCCAATATAAAAGTTTATATAAAAATCATTACCTGAATCTTACAATGCCTACTTGGTTAATCCTACATTGTTATACTTTCTTTTATACACAGACTGACATGCATAAATACACTATACACGTAACACATCACCTACATGTCTTCTTCTACTGTCTTGCTGATACATTAGTATCAGAAGCCACAGGAGTCAGTGACACCGAGACATTTCTGATACCGTCATTAACCCATTGCTGACAGGCATGCCATGCCATGCCCACTGTGTGATTACTTGTTTGATTGTTTTTACACATAGATGGCTACACTTGTACTAAATCACCAATGAGCCAGTTACGAGTACTGCCTGTCTCACCATTTTACCCTTTTCTTTGATTTACAAAATATTTTACGTTATCTTCTTTTGCTCTTACTAATGTTAAAAAACATTATAATAATTATAATGTTTATAATAAAAATAACACCATCGATATTCATGGCACTAGTGAAAAATACGTTTTTCCCGCCATCAACAGAGCCATCTATGGGTAGACATTTCACAAAAAAAAATATAGCAAATAAGCATTTTTTGTTCATTTTCCCCGGTAGCAATGGGTTAAGGGGTTAAAGGTAAATCTCTTGGTTGTGAGAAGAGTCAAGGTATCAATACAGCATAACCTAAAGTTACATTCTAGATCTTGTAAAACTAAAAAATATTATTTACAAATAAGAGTTTTGCAGCAAATAGGATAAACCTCAATAATTTTGTTTACATCTTTTGGGTCCAAATTACCTAAAACTCAGTAGTTAACAGCTGTCAATTGGTATTTTGAAATTTTTTTTAAATCTTGCAAATTGGCTCAAATTACAGACCTAGTGAGCAGTTAATTTCAGTTCGCATTTTTTTTTTTTTTTTTTTTTTTTCTACAAATATAATCGTAAGAGCAAGACAACCAAACTAATTTCATACTTGGTATAGTATTTCTGCAGGTGTCTGTGGAATGTCTGTTTCAGGTCGAGACATTGGGTTCCTTGTGATCTCTTCCTCTTGTCTAATTTGTACTTCAGACAGCGATACATATACATGCTGTAAAAGAAACAAGAATTTTGAGTATATCCTTCAATCCCAAATAACTTACTTATGCAGACACGTTTACAAAAAAATACCTCTAAAGCAAATTGCATAAAAGATATCAAATATACATCTGAAAGGCTCTGCTCCCACTTTGATATGTAATTAAAATAACATTTCTCAAACATATACTAAAACTGTTTACATGTGTATAATATCTTTAATTATTCTTATCAAATTTGAAATGTAAAAGGAGTTGTCAATAATACTCCCTTTCACATTTTTATCTAAGGTAAACATATATATTAAAACAGTGCATAATGCATACAAAAAAAAAAGTTTTACATCACCAAATATACAAATGATTATCTCAATGAACACTATACTTGGTTCTCCCAAAAAAACATGATCAACACATGCACTCTCTGTACAAATACAAAGTACATTCACACCAAAAAATGTATTTAAAAAAATAAAACATATTCTTACCTTGGAAAGAACTTTAACTCCTTCATGGATTGGTTGTGGAAGACCAGCTAGGGAGGTCCTGTCCCCCTGTAGCTGAAATCCAACAAACTTCACACGTGTCGAATCTAAAAATGAGTCTATGTCCTTTTGCCGTACTTTTGGAGTCCATGGTAATCCTGTTAAATATTACATGGTATTAAAGAAAAAATTATACTTCACTCCATGAAATTAACCCATTACCGACAGGCATGCCATGCCATGCCCACTGTGAGTTTACTTATTAGAATGTTTTTACACATAGATGGATACACTTGTACTAAATCACCAGTTACGAGTACTGCCTGTCTCGCCCATTCAGCCTTTTCTTTAATTTTCAAAAATATTTTATGTTACCTTATTTTGCTGTTACTAATGTTTATAACATTATAGTAATTATAATGTTTATAATAAAAATAACACCATTGATATTCACAGCACAATTAAAAAATACATTTTCCAGCCAATTCAAGGAAAGGTGAAATCAGGTAAGGCAGAGCCATCAATGTGTTGAGACATTTCACAAAAAAACATAAAAATGAGCACAGCATTTTCCCCATTTTTTATTAATTTTCCCCGTCGGCAAGGGGTTAATACCATCAAATAACACAACACGAAAAATAATTGAAATAACTATTAGTATATAATCTGTAGTACATTATTCTAAAGCCATATAAATTTAGAGAGTTTGCAACCTCTGCAAGAAAGTAAAATCTTCACAATCTGTCCTCTTAAAGTACTAATATGGGTCATATTTATATAACAATTTTGATATTGCCCTCCACAGTTCTCCATAGAAAAAAAAAGTATATTTGGTTTAGATAGTTGTCTTCATAATTTATTGCATATATTAAACATTTCAAACAGGAATGTCTTTCATATCTGGGGGGGAAAAAAATTATAATGATAATAGACACCTTTACAAACTATGGTCCCTAAAGAAAACAATAACACTGATTGATTTGATAATAACTCCTGGGCCAAATGGCAGGATGGTTGCCAGTGACACCGAGAGATTAAGGATGAGTCCAATATGCGAAGCTGAGCCTTGCCCGGGCTATGCCCATGAGAGGAGCCCGGCCTGTGTTGACTAATGCCAACTCACTAAAACAGCACCAGCTGACACATTAGCTGGTGCTGACTCGGTTGAGCTTAGTCCTTACCCGTTATTTGCCCAGCCACAGCAGTACCCTCCAGGCGACAAATGCAACTTTTCGCACCTGGGTGGGGAGCAAACCACCGACCCCTTGGATGAGAGGCCGACACGTTACTACTGTACTAGCTGGGAGATTGCCGAGAGATTTCTGATACTATTATTAAAGGGTTAATGACTGCTGTTAGGGCTGAACCATGAAGAATTCTTTAGTGTGCACAGCTCTAAAGAGATCAACTGTGCATGACATGGGTTCCTCTCATGTCTGTCCAATCATATTTCATACCGACATGTTACTACTGTACTAGCCGGGAGGTTGCCGAGAGATTTCTGATACTATTATTAAAGGGTTAATGACTGCTGTTGGGGCTGAACCATGAAGAATTCTTTAGCGTGCACAGCTCAAAAGAGATCAACTGTGAATGACATGGGTTCCTCTCATGTCTGTCCAATCATATTTCATACCAGGCAGAAATTCCAAGATGGAAGCTTTGCCAGAAATTAATGCCAAAAAATAGTAGTATGGCCACACATTACCACACATGCCTGTATCAAATCCACAAACAGGACCTCATGGTATAAACACAAGGGTTTATTGCTGACAAGTGGTAGAAACTGCCATGTTTATTGGTGCTGACATTTTAGCCCCTCTGAAGGCATTGGGTTAATGACATAAAAATGTGGTATACTTCCCTCAGTATATGACACTGACAATTATATTTTGCAGCTGATCATTCTCATTATAATTTCCATTAACTATATAAAAGACAATGCCTGCAAGAGAGATGGCATGAAGAATACTCTATTTGCAGCTTTCGTGTCCCAAGACATTGGGACACCATAGCTTCCAAGTAAAATACTGAGCTTTGTACCCCAAGGCAAATCATGTCATTCACTTTCTTTTCATGAATGTTATTCATCACAAACCTTTATTGGTGCTGTTGTTATTAATGGGTGTTCCAGGTCTTGGGGAGGGTGGCTGAGGCAAGTCTGGTGGTTCGTCCATATCAGTGGGAGGTTGTTCATCTTCATCAGCTGCAGCAGTAAGATCCAACTCACCAACACTGTCATCTAAGCTGCTCTGCTTCATCAGTCCCTGCTAATAATCAAAGGCTTTCTCAAGATAAAAGTCTTGTGTGTTAAATGTTTAGGATGACATAAAAAAATGTAACCAAAAATGCATTATTGCAGTTAATGTAATATGACTGAACTGAATGATGCCAATGGTGATATAATCTCCCACTTCACATACCCTCCTGAATGGTCTTCTTTTTTGGTTATTCTGTTGCTCTATGAGGTCAGCCGCTGATGCTGGGGGTGAAGAGGCTCTCATAGTGCGTGCAATGGTTAATGTGTCTTCGCCACAAGGAGGTAGACCATGATTCTCACGATAAGTATCTGAAAAAATTATTTTCTTTAAGAAAATGACTGATTAAATATCATTCTCTATCCTATTATAGAAGAGTCTGTTCAAGGGGCAGGTAATGTGAACATGCAGTCACAGGAATATTTGGCTGCATGCCAGATGACACAAACCTCTTAGGAGGTTGATTAGACTCATTTGATAATTTTGCATTATCCCTATCAATAAATGATGCTCACCACCGTAACCAGTGATGCAGGTTATATTACAAAAAATTGAAGAAGAAGAAGAAGAAGAAAAAAAAATAACAGAAATGTTAAATTTTTTATTTCTCATGAATTGAGTTCTTGACTACCTAGAGAGATGATACGGAGTCCGTGAAAAAGTCTATTACCATCTGGATAATGCAAATCAAATGGCAAAAATTACATTGCAAACAACAAAAAAACTAAAAATGTTTATGTGTAAATAGATTAAATAACATAGCAAATGGGAGAGTCCTGTCCCTGCATACATCTTCATCAGCTGCAGCAGTAAGATCCAACTCACCAACACTGTCATCTAAGCTGACCTACAAGCAGTGTACCTGGCAGTTGCTCACATAAGCTTAATGTTTGGAATTTGGTCATATGATTGCTCTTCTTGTATTTACACTTATTCTAAACATAAATATGGTATATGATTAAGTCATTACGCAGAGATATCACTTCATAAAAGTCCAAAGAATTATTTATTTTCACATATCAATCCATATGAATATAAATGGTGATCTTTCATGAATCATAAAGAGAAAAGAAATGAAACGTGTGTACATGTCTGTTCAAGTACATATGCACAAAAACAATGTACATGAAAACATCTTATATCTAGATTTTCTGGTAATAATATTCTGTGAGAATGAGGACAGTGTGGTGTAGGAGAGATTAACTCCTCCCACCCAAAGGTCTTTCTCAATCCCCATCCCCCTATCCACTTCTACTCTCTCTACAATGACACTACGTTTGTATAAGAAAAAATAGTGTTGGGAAACCTAATGCGACACAGCTAGGTAGCTAAAATTGAGGACTGTTGGGAAACTACTTGTTTGCAAGTCTCCCAATATCACCCATGAATGAATGAATCTGCAGTGATCATCCTGACACTGTATTAGGTTGAATTACTTCTGTGTGGACTATGAAACATTCAAAATCACCCATCCCACCCTCATTCAGATCATGTTCCTGGGTCTGCACATGCGCACTACAGAGTCATGTGACCTAAACCACTACTCGACCTCTTCTTCAGTCACAAGCTCTTGCTAGGCACACCCACCCCACCTCCTTCCTCGCCTGTTGACCACCCAACACCCCACTCTGGTGGTTGGGTTGTTCTAGCCATGTGGCCCAGCAACCAAGCCAGCCAGCATATGGCACGCCCGCCGCTCTCACCTCACAAGTCACAGGAGATGGTGACACTGCTGGAGGTGCAGTGCAATAACTTTGATGATGCAATAGCAAGGAATGAGAGGTAAACATCACCCAAAATAAAAGAAGTTAAGGACAAATCTGTGGAGCTTGAAAAAAGCCTTGAGTTCTCACAGCAACTTTGGGAAGAAATGGAAGTCCTACTGGACCAAGTGAAAACAAGAACCTGCATGATCAAATAAACAAACTGAATCATGAGCTAAGTAGGCAGAGAAATATCATGAAAGAGATGGTAGAAGTGAATTATCTCAGATGATTATTGCAGAGGGAACAACTTATGAATAAGCAGAATTCCTGAAGACAGACAAGAAAACTGGTGCCTACAAGATAACTTCAACATCAACCAGACATTGAGTGTGTAAACCAGGTAGGCAAGACAATAATGATGTCCCTGCAATAAATGCAGGGACATCATAGCCTGCTTTGCTTCTTTCCCACGAGAGGGATGCTGAGTTTCATGAGAGGAGAAAGCTGGCCAATAACAACTCAAGGATCTTCATTAACGAGGACCTGTGTAAGAA